AATAAATAGTCGCACATCACGGACTCCATAATTTTTGAGGGTATGGAGTGAAGTACTACTGGTCGGTGTCTTGAAGGTTCTTTGCGTCGGCTTGCTTTAAAATTTGGTGTGATCTGAGCCAGCTTCCAAATTTTGGGTAATGTGCCTTGACTTAGGGAGTTCGAGAGCACCGCGCTATCAATGTTGCCAAGGTTGGAGCTGCCTCCCTCAGTATAACATAATGAACCATATCCGGACCAGGATAAGTATGTTGTTTAGGTCCTTCAGTTTCCGATGCACCAAGTCAGCGCTCAGGTCCAGTTCTAAAAACCCTGTGAAGTTGCGTGTGGAGCGTTTCTCAATAGAGTTAGTCATAATAAACGTCCGAGAAAATTATTCAGCCAGAGGTTTAGCGACGTGACCGTCGTTGTTGCTTAAGCCATTTGGACCTGGAAGTTGGGAATTCCCAGTTTTGGCTTGGTGAGGAAAGGCTGTATGATGGAATAAGATTTTCGGATTAGGGATAGATTTATCGATAAGCTTTATCTGGTAATGAACCCCTGTCTTGTCCTATTGCCTCTGTGTATATATTGCTTATTTATTTGTATTGTCTGTATGCGCCGTTGTTACATGTTCGATTGTATTCCGCCCAGTAGTTTCCTTAGCGGCTCGTCAAACGAAGAGTGAGGTTCATGATGACTGTAGGTTGCTTGTAGATTTTGAGGACCATTTGAGAAACAGAGTGCCTTGTAGCACATAGGATCATGTGCAGTAAGAACTCCCATATATATCCACCTGCTGCAGACTGTACTGTAAAGCTGATACATCAAACCGTTTGAAATTTCAGAGCTTCTTGTTGGTAGGACGTATTAGTTCAGTTTCGATGACAAAACCACAGGCTATGTCGGCGTGATCGCTCTTCCCTAGGGCATACAGCACTGAGAGGTTGTCATTTAAGAATACGTCGTTTGTAAATGGCCGTCTGAAAGCGACGGTGTCTGACTGTTTACACGACAAGTTACCGATTTCACATCTTTAAATAATCCCAGATCTTCAATGAAACTGAAGAATCGAGCTTCCGTAGTGCTTTCACTTCCAATGTACTCACGTTCCGCAAAATCGACTTTAGGAAGATTGAAGTCCTCTAGAATCAGGGTATGAGTGAATCCGAGACGCGTAGAGCGGAAAAATCCTTCCAGCATAAAATTGTCTAACTCGTTGTCAGTAGAAGGATCCCTGTTGATGACTCCAACTAGGCACATTGAGGTGATAGAAATTCTTACTAAGCAACATATGGATTCATCAAGAGTGATAAATTCCTGGTTGTGGACTTGGTGTACCTCCAGACAAAATCGCAAGTACAAGGCTACTTAACCTTCCACTCCCGTCTTTCTGTAATTGCGAAATAAAGACGTTGAGGGTATTAATAGCTTCTGGTCAGTGAACTGAGATATCCATGTTTCGGATATTTCTATCCGACGAGAATTATTAGCGTTACTGAGTTCACACAGCTCACTTATTTTATTCGGTAAACCCTCAGCGTTCATGTATAAGCAGTTTGTGATGTCGATTTGAAACACGTGAGCTTCCCTGTCCTGTTTATCTGTATGAGCCTCGTGTGTACGGATAGGTAACCTACCTGTATAGGGTTTTCCAAGTTGGTGGCCATTGTTCTTTCTACGTTTTTTATGATCTAGTTAGCTGTAAAGTGTCATTTTGCTTGATCCTGACATCATGTCGCTTATCCGGATAGGTACAGATCCCAGTTAGCGATCGGCATCTGTTGGCACGAAATGATTCCAGAGTTAAACCCGCCATATTGGAGGATGGGAAGGTAATCTTCGCCAGCCGGGGTTTAGAATCCCCGCTTTCCTTGGCTATTCCGATCACCTGTTGGCCCGATATGCTTTTGAGCCTCAGGGACGATTTGATAAATTTTCATTCTCGAATATCAGGGTTTGTGTGACCGGAGTCCGTGTTTTCCCGTGCACCTTACACAACGATATTTCTTCTGCGAGAAAAACTCGCGAGATTCCTTAGGGATGTTTCGGATGAGATTGCGCTCAGAAAACGGTTTACCAGGTATTCTTAAATTCCTATCTGATTTCAGTAATTGACAAGCCAGTAGGAATTCCTCTACGTCGGAAGCGTTAGCATGTGTTACACGAAGTAGTCTTGAGCGACTTTGATGATGAAGACCGTTGCTTCGAGTAAGCTGTGTGACCGTCAAAAGCTCTATTTTGGAAAGATCGTGTTTCTTGTTAAACACTTCCCAGAGCATTCTGTTAACTTTGTCTGGCAAACTGAGAAGGTCGAGGCCGTCTTTGAGATTCATAATAGCAAGAGAATCAACATGAACCGTGATTGTTTTCCGAAGTTTTCGGGTATGCTTAGGTTGACGGCCTTGTTTTTTTGTGGTTTATGCGCCTTTCAGATTCTTGTGCTCTTTGCTGGCAGGTTAAATTTTCTTGGGGGTAGACTGTACGGCCTAATCACCAGTTGATCTCATAACAATACTTAGGATGTTCAGCTTCTTAGAAAGTGAAACTCGATCCTTCTTAACCTTGTTGACAGGGGTCCAATCAGCTTCAGAATTTTAGAAACCACCGTTGCATTTAGGGATCCTGTGCTCGGAGACCAAATTTTGCTAAAGGGGTCTAGTATTGTTGATGCGATGGTGATGCTGATCTTCAGTATATCCTTACTAGTGTCATTACATGCTTCGTCAATAATAACGTTATCGAGGTCCCTTTTCTTGTTTTCACTGCTCTCTTTTTGTATGTTTATCCATCTTCGGACTTTTTCCAGGTTTGCTGACAACTTTTTCCGGAGACCTATTAAGAGAATGATGATGTTGCTCAGCAAAGCCTCGGTATTCATGTTGCATGTGCCACATACCCACCTACTATCCGACTTACTGAGTCTGTTGTAAGCAGTCACTGTCGGATCTGTGCACGCTTCGTAGAACCGACTTTATAGATTGGTTTAAATTAGTTTTTTATACAGGTGGATCCTGAGTCAGTCGGCTAGAGATTAGGCGTTTTGGAGCGAGACCGAATGTACTTAGTTCGATTATTGCGTGCTAGACCATGTACCCGCACTGCTGAGGAGTCTCATGTTGAACAAATCTCTTGTTCATTGCTTCCATCCTTTCAGTGGTTGCGAAATAATAGTCAGGTCATGATTCCAATGATTCTTGTTTTTGATTGTCGGGACAATTTTGACGAACGTGTGACCAGAATATAAGAACGAAACCATTAGCTATGATCTCATTGTAAAGAGCCACAAGGAACGCGTGGATTTTCAGTTAAACTTAGTTTTCTTCGTCGCATGACTCTGAAGTTGTCTCCGAATTGATGAACATCTCGACGAAGTCAAAACATTGAACTAGCATCAAGAATTTAGATTAGAAAAGCGAAGGGGACGAGTAAAGAACGGAAATTATTCTATGAATAATGTGGCTATGTTGTTCATCGTCGAAAAATCAGTAAACGATAACCTAGGCATTTCTTTTTGTTAGATCAGTTGTTATGCGAGTGGATTCACACACACCAGAGGAAAGTGACAAACGGATAAAAAGCGTATAAATGTAAGAAAGTTGAAACAATGTCAATATGTATGAGCTATTGATTCAACCGTACGGCGTTAGTTCACTAGGTTCTTGTGTTCAGTTTTATTATGGCTGAGTTACTTAGGAATTCCTTGATTGTC